ATGGTAAGAAAGGAATAAAAATATATGTATAAAGGGGAATAAAAATGTAGTATTTAAAGTAAAACTGAATAAATAAAAGAATTGGAAATCAGCTGATCTTATTTAATTCGAGGATAGGTGAGTAAGAAGAAAACGGATGAGAATGAGTAAATACAGTGCCAGGCAGAAAGGCAGGAAGGCAATAATGAAGGAAATGATCTTGATAACAGATGCAACAGAAATAACATTTGATAGAAATTCAAAAGGCGTATATATATATATGTGTGTGTGTGTGTGTGTGTGTGTGTGTGTGTGTGTGTGTGTGTGTGTGTTTGTGTGTGTGGAAACTTCTCGGTGGCATTTGAAAGAGGAGTGTAATCAACAAATGAAAGTTTAATCAGACGACAAAAACAAACAACAACAACAAAACTCCTCCCTTCTCCCTCCTCCCCCTCCCCCCTCCCCCCTCCACCACCCTCCATCTCCTGACATACCAAAAAATGAAAAAGAGAGAGAATGAGAGAGAGAGAGAGAGAGAGAGAGAGAGAGAGAGAGAGAGAGAGAGAGAGAGAGAGAGAGAGAGAGAGAGAGAGAGAGAGGGAGAGAGAGAGAGTTAGAGAGAGAGAGAACGACAACGAGAGAACGAAAACTAGAACGGGAACAAGAACAAGAACAAAAAGAAGAACAAGAACAAAAAGAAGAACAAGAACGAGAGAGAGAACGAGAGCGAAGAGGAAGGCGAAAAGCGAAAGGCAATCTCTCCGAGGAGCTCCGAGGGGCCAGTGACGGACCTCCTCTGCGGTCACGGCCAAGATGGAGGCGTCATCTTGGCCGAAAGGAACACACGCAGGACTTTGACCCGAGGAGGAGGGGGAGGAGGAGGAGGAGGGAGGAAGAGGGAGAAAGGGGTGATGGAAGGAGGAGGAGAGAGAGGGAGAGGAGGAGGAGGAGGAGGTGGAGGAGGAGGAGGTGGAGGAGGAGGAGGAGGAGGAGGTGGAGGAGGAAGAGGAACAGGAGGAGGAGGAGGAGGAGGAGGGAGGAAGAGGGAGAAAGGGGTGATGGAAGGAGGAGGAGAGAGAGGGAGAGGAGGAGGAGGAGGGGGAGGAGGAGGAGGTGGAGGTGGAGGAGGAAGAGGAACAGGAGGAGGAGGAGGAGGAGGAGGAGGGAGGAAGAGGGAGAAAGGGGTGATGGAAGGAGGAGGAGAGAGAGGGAGAGGAGGAGGAGAAGGAGGAGGAGGTGGAGGAGGAGGAGGAGGTGGAGGAGGAGGAGGAGGAGGGGGAGGAGGAGGAAGAGGAGGAGGAGGAGGGAGGAAGAGGGAGAAAGGGGTGATGGAAGGAGGAGGAGAGAGAGGGAGAGGAGGAGGAGGAGGAGGAGGTGGAGGTGGAGGAGGAAGAGGAACAGGAGGAGGAGGAGGAGGTGGAGGAGGAAGAGGAACAGGAGGAGGAGGAGGAGGAGGAGGAGGGGGAGGAGGAGGAGGAGGAGGAGGAGGAACAGGAGGAGGAGGAGGAAGAGGGAGGAGGAGGAGGAGGAGGAGGAGGAGGAGGAGGTGGAGGAGGAAGAGGAACAGGAGGAGGAGGTGGAGGAGGAGGAGGAGGAGGAGGATGAGGGGGAGGAGGAGGAGGAGGTGGTGGTGGAGGAGGTGGAGGAGGAGGGAGGAAGAGGGAGAAAGGGGTGATGGAAGGAGGAGGAAGAGAGAGAGGGAGAGGGAGAGGGGGCGAAGGGGATGGGGTAGAGGGAGGAGGGAGAGGGGAAGGGAAAAGGGGAGGAGGAGGAGAAGGAGGAAGAAGGAGAAGGAGAAGAAGAAAAAGAAAAAGAAGAAGAAGAAAAAGAAGAAGAAGAAGGAGAAGGAGGAGGAAGAGGAATAGGAGGAGAAAGAGGGGGGAGGGGAAAGGAAGGGATGGAAGAGGAAAAATGAAGACGTGAATAGAAGGAGGAGGTGGAAGGGGAAGGGAAGGAGGGGAAGGAGGAAGAGGAAGAGGATGGGATGGAAGGGGATTTGTAGAAGGAGGAGGAATAGGAAGAAGAAGGAAAATAAGAAAATCTAAAAAGAAAAGGAATGAGAAGAAAACGAAGAAAGAGGAAACGAAGAAAAGAAGAAAAAAAAAGAAGAAAATGTAGAATAACAAGAAGGAGAAGGAGAGGATATAGAGACGGAAGTAAGACATGAAAGAGAATAGGGGAAGAACAGCGACATGAGGAAAAGAAGGAGAAAGAAGGAAAATGGAATTAGAATAAGGAAGAGGAAGTCGACGAGGATGAGAGGAAAATAAGGAGGAAAAGAGGATGGAGGAATGGGTGAGGATAATGAAGAATTGAGTTAAGAGGAAAGGAAAGAGTAATGAAGGAGGATATGAAAGGAAATTAAATGGAAAAAAGGGGAAATAGAGGAAAGAGATAAACAGGGAACAATGGAAACAAGGAAAATGAAAAGGAAAAGGGAAAAGGTGAAGATAAGAAGTAGGGGAAGGGAGAAGACAGAGTGAAAAGAAAAAAAATAAGAAGTATGCGAAAGGAGAAGAGAGAGAGAACGATAAATAACGAAGACACGAATGACAAGGAAAGGCCAAGGATATAGAAAATGAAAGATACGTGAGACAGCCATCTATTTATCCATCCATCTATCCATTCTAATATTCATTAATTCATCCATCTATTCATTTATTCATTCCTTCATTCATCTCTTAATTTATTCATCCATTTCTCTTTCCCTCTTTTTCTCTATCTATCTATCTATTTATCTATTTATCCATCTGGCCAGAATCCCAATACCACTAAATAAATCTAACCCTCCCCCCCCAAAAAAAAAAGAAGAAAAATTAAAGAAATGAACGAAAAGAGGAAAAACTAAAGAAGAAAAGAAAAAGAAAGAAAGGAAAAGAAGGAAAAAAAAGAAAACGACCTCATAACTCCAGTCAAGTCGTTCGTTTTCTCCAGCACTGAGGTCGTCCATCACTCTTGGAGGGGGGGGGGTGAGGAGGGGGGTCGTCGCGGAAGAACCAACCCCCCCCTCCCCTCTCCCTCTCCACTCCCCTCTCTCCCCTTCTCCCTCTCCTCCCCCCTCCCCCTCCCCAACCTCGGGAGAAATTATTGCACGAGGGAATTGCTCTTTTATTCCGAAGAGTCACGGGTGTTGCAACATAAAGGGGGGGAAGGGGAGAGGGGGAGGGGGGGATTTTGAAATGCATGAGAGGACTTTTTTTGAGTTATATGAGGGCGATTGTCATGCAAGAAATGACGGTGTGTGTGTGTTCCTTGTGTTTCTTGTTCCGCGTTTCGAAGTTTAAGTATTGCATGGCCGGTTCGTGTTCTATTGGTGAAAAGCTTTTTATTTAGTTATTGAGTTATTTTTAAGATTTCTGTTATTTTGGTGTTCCTGTTTCTTTCTTTCTTTTTTTGGTGCGTGTGGCCTTTTTCTTCGTTTCTTTCTGTTTCTTTCTTTCTTTTTTGGTGCGTGTGTCTTATATTTTTATTGTATTTTTCCCTCTTCTTTTAATTGGTGTCTTTTTACATTTTATTTTTATTTATTTATTTTATTTTTTTGGTATATAAAAAAATATTTTTTTTTGTTTTTATCTTTCCTTTTCTCTGATTTTTGGTGCATGTTTCTCTTCTCTTCTTTCTTCCTTCTTTCTTCCTTTCTTTTTTGATGTACGAAATCCTGCAAGAAAATGGAACATGACCTGCGTCTCCTTCTCGAATTTGTAGCGGAAACTCTTCTATTTTTTTATTATCATTATTTTTCACGTTATTAACCTTGGCTTTTGGAATCCCGAGTAAGCTTTAAATCACAGACAAACATCTCGTGTCTCTTAGCGTGTGTTAAATGTCTCAAGTTTCCATTTCTTTTCATCGGAAGAACTTACAGGAAAAGGAAGATTTAAAATTTCAAAGGTCACGGAGATTAAAATTATCATGCGCTTTTATATTATTACTTTCTTGAACTTTTAGGTCAGCTGTTTTATTTACTTAGTGTATTCCGATTAACAGTTACGCTGGGAATTACAAGTTAATGGAGCTTTTTTATGACGTAATGGAGACAAATTTCTCAAATTAGATATTTCATTAAGTTATATAAATCACACTTTAACGAGTGGGGAGAGGAGGGGGGGAGGGGAAAGGAGGGGGGAGGAAGGAGGGTGCAATTAAAAGATAAAGTTGTAGGTTTTTAATAAATAACAAACTTATCTACAACTGCATAATATACGATTTCACTGTGTATATTTTCCTAGATGTATCATGAAAATGAGATGGACTTTTTATAAATAGGAAGGGAAATACACACAAACTCTTTTTTATATATATTGTTATATATATGTATCAATTTATGTGATTAGTGTTCAATACTCACTCAATTTGTTTTTCTCTTTTTTTATGATAGTTCGACTAGGAGGACTTTGGCGATATCCTTATGAATATATTTGAATACTCACTTCCATTTTTTTGTTATAATATTCTGACCTGAATACTATTAAATATTTACTTCCTTGTCTCTCTCTCTCTTTCTCTCTCTCTCTCTCTCTCTCTCTCTCTCTCTCTCTCTCTCTCTCTCTCTCTTTCTCTCTTTTTGATAATAGTTTGACCTGGAGAGCGTTGATTAATGTTATTAAACACCCACTCCCATATTTTTTCCCTCTCTCTCTTTTTTATAATTGACCTGAATAATATTAAATGCTCACCCCTTATTTGCTCTTTTTTTTTTTATAAAAGTTCGACCTGGAAGGTTTTGCCATGATCCCTATAAATACTATTAGATTCTCACTTCCTTATCTCTCTCTCTCTCTCTCTCTCTCTTTCTCTCTCCCCCCCCCTCTCTCTCTCTAACCCTCTCTCTCTCTCTCCCTCCTCCCTCCCTCCCTCCCTCCCTCCCTCCCTCTTTCCCTCTCTCTCTCTCTCTCATGACTTTAACCTGAATACTATTAAATACTCATTCCCTATTTTTCCATCTCTCTCTCTCTTTTTCATAATAAACAAAATATTAAATAGCCATTCCCTAATTTTTCTTTCTCTCTCTTCCCGAATAG